CCCCGGAATTCCCTGACAGCGCAAACTGGCACCGAGTCCAAACTCAGCCCCGGTACCGGAGTTGCTACCCCGCCTCCTCCAGCTCCTCCGCCTTTTTCTCACAGACTCGTGACGGAGAGTTGGTGAACATCCAGGAGCGTGTTTCCCCTGAACGTCTATTTATGGACCAGGAAGAGTATGAGCCCCTGACGCCATTGTGGAAGTTATCACAGAGGGCTGTCACTGTTTATCACAAATCTAGATCTAATCTTGACACCATGACACAGAGCACAGTGTGGCAGGCTTTCCATGATAACTTCACTTAATACACTAGATATAAAAAAATAGATTCCATGAAACTGCTATGCATAACACCACTTCTAAATCTTGAACAAATATCTCTTCCTATTTCCAAACTAAAAACAACAGATAGTCTCTAACTTCAAACCTTTAACCAATGTGAAAAACTCATTAAATACATTCATATTAGTTTCCCTTGTTTCACATTTCCCTTAATTAATTTATTAATATATATATCTTACATTTTTGAGCTGCAGCTTACGGTTGTATTAAAAATGAATAAACTATTTACTGATGATTTTTAAGTCACCTATTTTCATTTTCACTATAACATTTAAGAGGCAGCAGGTTGTGTAGACATACATGTTATTTGGCAGGAATTCCCTGCAGCCTTTTCCATAAAGTGATCATATGGACCATAGATTGTATATGCAGATGTATGACATGAGTCAAGTAATTGTAATAAATATTTACACTCTATAAATATAAGATTATATGATGAGATAAAGTGTATATAACAGTATATAAAGTGTATATACAACAGCTATATATCTATGAACTTAATACAATGTTTACTCACTGTAGTCTGTTTTAGCCTGAGGATTTGGTTGCGTTTCACTTTGTATTTGCATGTACATTATGGCTGCTAGGGAAGGTTTTGAAGACAAGCTAACAGTGTGCCATTATCTGGAAGTGTGCGATGTGTCATTGGCACTTCACAGTGAGAAACATGCTTGTCCAAACTGCTGGTGACCGATCAGAAACATTATAGGAGTCCATGCTCATGCAGAAATATATGTTGCAACAGAGAGGGGCCGGTGCTTATGCCGTGTTCTGTCCAACAATCGCCTGAGCTGTCAGTCTCCAGTCTGCCAAGGCCAGAATTTACCACAAAATAATATAGTGGGTGTGTGTCCCATTGATATATCATGCAAATCCAGCAGCTCTATGGTCCTAACTCCCTGGTGTGCCCTCTGGAGGTATCTCCCAGTAACACACATAATACATATGCAAGTATCTTAAAAGTTACGAAGCATCGGTTCATTTAAACAAACTTGTGATTATAAATCCAGATATATCTCCAGCCTTAAATAATTTTGGGTGTATAGAAGATGGTTGGATAGACAGATGGATGCTGTAAGGTCTGTGAAGGCTGAACAATATCTAACAAATATACTTAATATTGCAATACAGCCCACATGGCGCCGCCTCTAAATAAAGCCAGAGATTTGAGGCTAATAATAATAGTAGATGACATTAGGATGAGTCAGTTAAGATCACGAGTGAGGTAAACAAGGCTTTAAAAACACAAATGGCTTTCTCTTAAGCCGGAAACATTTGTTCCAGCTTTCCTCGCCAAAGTAACCATCCTGCAGTCTGTAATAAAGCCAAAGAGCCACATTGGTACAACCAACAGTATGTGTGTTAGAGACACACACTACACACACACACACGGGTTATATTTAGAAAGCACTGTCTCAGCAGGACAACAGGAGGCAAAATTAGCCAGCACAGGGAGACGGGAGTGTGTCATGGATGATGCTGAGACAATGACATAAATATACACACATGCAGTTATTTATGGTCACAACAATTCTATAAAAAACTGCAGCAACAACAATAACATCAGAGAATTATGGAATCTATCTTTGCCTCAGTACAAATCAATGATGGGGATCAGTCTTTTGCCATCTGTTCTTCATTGACATTACAACACTCTAGAATATTCAGAGACAACAGAAGCCTTTTTAAAAACTTGTGGTAGTACGCAGTGCTGGGTAACAAGAGGGGTGTGTGTGTATGCAAGATTCAAACCCCTGATGGAATAACAGCATGGTATGTGTGGTATGTACCACTAGGGTGGATCTAGAGTGTATTGTGAAGTGAAAATGAATGTTCAATAATGTGTTTTGTGTTGAGAAAGAGGAGGGCTGCAGCACACAGTGGGGGTCTGTGACACTGGGAGGCACTGTGTTTGTGTGTGGAGAAATCAGCTGCATGCAGTTGCAGTACTGTAGAGTGAGCTTAACTCTAACAAATGCAGAAATGCACACATTTCAAGCTTAAAAGTAGAAAATTCAAGAGTCTGCGAGAGTAACTGTGAACCATTTACTTATAGCAGCCTATAATGCTAGACCTGTCCACATGTACATTTCTCCAAACTGTTTTGGTTATTAAATTCCAGATGATGGAATTATAACTCTGAAAACCTGCACCTTTATGGTTATAATAATCTGTATGTATATCATTATACTACACCAGCTAGAGAGAAGTTTTTATAACATCATCTGGAAGCTATTACTTCCTGAATTGCTAATCTTTAATTATCCACCACAGAGTAGTAAAGCAGAGCAGTTTGTATGAAGGCTATATATCATCTGTTTCTGGCTGTTGTGTAAATGTGTCCATCCTTCTCGTACAATGGTTTGTCCTGTGCTTAGACAAACTGATAATGTGAATGTTATGATGCCTGTGCTGCTTGTTTTTGGATGTCGTGCAGGAAGAAGATTATTTCAGTTTGCTATTTTACGCACATCATCTGAAGTCATAGTGTATTCTTATATTGCTCCAAGTGAATGGGATTGTTTTTTTTTATTATATTACAATATTAAATTGTATTCTTAATAATTTTTATAATTATTATAACTTTTTTCTCAAGTCTGTGACTTTGCTCAGCTTTGTGTGTTTGAGGCTACATCCACACTACTACTACTATGTCTGTCCACACAAGTATTTTGGCTCCAGATCAGTTTTGATTCCTTGCAATACTAACACGTTTGAAAAAGGTATACCACCTAACCACTCGCGTACAATGGGCATGCGTGTGCCAGTGTAAACAGGAAGCATTTGGTTGTTGGTTGCAGATAGTGCGAGGCTGCAGATGAGAAGCAGCAATAACGGCTCTAAAACTGAGGAGTAGGTTGGACTCCAGGTGTATCTGTAGCAGACTTGACTGTTAGAGTCTATTAGCCCTGCAAAGTGAACAGGAAGAGGATTGCTGATTGATGTGGGTAAGGGTGGGACTGTAGTGTACCCCACACACACACACACACACACACACACACACACACACA